CCCAGCTACGCCCCTCGTACTGTCATAGGTGCATGCCACCATTTTTTAATTAAAAAAGCATGTGCTCCAAAATTTGGGTGTGGTCACGCATGCTCAGGTCTCAGAACTGGGAAAGGCAAGCAATTTTTTTACCTAGCTAGGCTAGCTATGCTTGGAATCAATTGCCATGCTTAGTGGAGGTTTCCAGCTAAGGGAAGGTATTAATCTTGCTTATTTTTGTTTTATCAAGTGTGTAATGAATTATTTTATTAAAAAACAAACAATTAATTAATGTTATAATAATGCAATGATAATATGAACTTGATAACAGCCTGGAAGAACAGGAATAGCTACAGGATTCCAGGGAAGATGAACACTCTCAGCTCACAGCTCTTTGAACAAGGACTTGTGTCAAGACTAGTATTAATTTCACTTGTCATCAGTATAGTTGATATTCCTTCAGCATATCTATTTAATGCTGTCTTTTATAAATGCTGTAAAGTCATAACAATCATAATAATAACAAAGAAAATTATTGCTTGTGTAAAATCAAAAAGTATCACAATGGCAACTAAAGAAATATCAAATATAAAAAATCAACACAAACGAGAACATAATAAATTTAAAAGAACAAGGTTAAGTAGGATTCTAGACCAAATTCATAAAAAAGTAATTGAAATAAGGACAGGTATGATTCTGAACAACTAATGAAAATACGAAATGAAAATCCTACTCTCGTGATGCAAAATCTACTCTACATTGCAAGGTGATCCGTAATTTCTTAAATAATGAAGCACTATGGTGTAATGTACTTGCCCGCTGGAATTCACCAGAGTGATATGTGTTACTTGTGCTGTGATATTTTAAGCAATTTTGAAAAAAAATTATTATTGACTGCATAGTTATAATGATAATTAAAATAAGCTATGGGTGTGGTCAACAACTAGCTAGCTAAATCATGGCACATGGCCGGGTAGGAGAAAGAAGAAAAGCTGAAATTTATTTTAGCATCTAAAGCTCTATTCAAAGAAAGAGTTTGGCACAAAAAAGTTTCCTGGATGTTTAAAATACACTGAGAGAGTTTGATTGCTCTTGATTTCCCCAGTGCCGCCTGAAAAATTCTCAAAGAGGCTAAATCACAAACTTTGAGCAACTGTAACTCACAAACAATGAAGTTAGGACAAAATCGTTTTTTGGTTTTTGTTTGATGGAATTTTCTACATCTGAAGCAAATCTCGGCCCTGTAGAGTGAAACATGAGCTTTCACCTGGAGAGAGGTCCCCTGGTTTAGCAGTTCACAGCTTTTCAGTGGTACCACGGGATGCTACAAGAGCATAAGTAGATAAAAGAAAGCAACTTTATCTGTTGCTAGAAGAAGAAATATAGCTCTAGACTGCTCAGACAAAAAGATATATTTTTTACAAATCAATTAAACTGTGTGGACAAAATGACAGAATGACAACCCAACTGCTTAGTACCTGCCTACGCAAGTGTGGCGAGTCCAATAACATTAAAAGTACAATGTAGAGTAGAATTTGCGTCACGAGAGTAGGA